CGCTATATCACGAGGCGACAAAAGTAAAAATGTGAACCTCTGGATTCCTACCCAGTGGCTGAATGGTGACATGCCTGTTAGGAAACCTGAAAGTCTTGGGTTCGACCCCGGTGAAGTTGTGGTTGTGCACTGCTGAGGAGTCCCATGCTAGTGCTAAACAAATGTTCAGTGCTCCTAGGTCTTCAATAGTTCTTTAACTGATATCAATAGTACTACCTCGCAATCAATAAATCCTGACAAAGTATGAAAAGTTCTACAGTTTGATTGCTGTCTAAAATTAAGGGTAGTTGATTATCAGAAACTGTTAGGCAGTGTATAAATATTCCTCTGATATCCCGAATGAACAGTTATAACGCTATCCACTTATTAAATTAATCTTCACTTATCTACTTTGTTAAGAGTGATAAACAGATGAGAGGGTGTGAAGTGTCGTAAAATTCCTGTCTGTCATGTGATAAACCATAATGGATGATGTTCGAAAGTTCAACGACGGATTTGCCTTGGTCGTACAACTGATACAAGTGGATGCACAGATGCAGATGAATTGATAAATGTATATAGAGGAGGTGGAATCAAGTAGTTAGTTAGGCAAGTCTGTCTTCGAACTCCCAAATATGATCCACCATGATCCAGGACAGGAAAGACAGGATCGACATAAAGCTTTATACACTATTATTTGGTTAACATTGGTCACCGAGTTGATACTAATGATGCTTGCAAGGCCATTTGTCCACAAACATCTTTATCTCTCAAACGAAAAAACGAAATAATCCAATTGGTTGTTTTAAAACGTCAGACAAATATAACAAGAATTCGCGTACTGACTAACTTAACGATAGTTTACGGTAATTTATTTGACTAGGGCTAGCTTTGTCATACTATGCAGAAGATAACACCATCAACAACTCAGATGGCAGTTGTATACTGACGTAATAAAGCAGGTTCACTATAAGACTGCACAACGACATTACTCACGTTACCTTAAGCCCAGTTTGGTAATTTCTAAGATAACCAGTTAGTTTTCCTAATTTTAGCTGTATGTAAAGGTAATACCTCCAAAAACAGATGAAGTGAATCGGTCATTTTAACAGTTGCTAGGGTGGCCGTTACATTGGAATATAATATTAGACTCGTATACAGTTCTTAGAAGAATTATAGATGGGTTTTCAGTAGTATTAGTATTGGTAGTAGTAGTAGTAGTAGTAGTAGTAGTAGTAGTAGTAGTAGTAGTAGTAGTAGTAGTAGTAGTAGTAGTAGTAGTAGTAGTAGTAGTAGTAGTAGTAGTAGTAGTAGTAGAAATAGTAGCAGAAGTAGTAGTAGTAGTAGTCGTAGTAGTGGTAGTAGTAACGATGGTATCTTCAGCAAGTATTTCGCATTTTCAGTTGCTGGTTTGTTAGAAATTATTATCTTGAAAGTAGTTTTACCCTTGGAATGATATCATTTGAAGGATTGTTGAAAATTGAGGAGCATTAGACAACCCGTCTTCTTAACAGCTCGCACCAGTAACCCCGAAAGGGATTGACACAGGACAGTTAGATCTGGTGTTGAGAACATTACCACTCAGCCAGCAGGTTGGAAGCTTGTGGTCTACATTTTCCTACTTCCGTCAACTCACAACATTAAACAACTACCATCCGGTATCATCATTGGGCAACTGCCCTGCTAGAAAACTTCCCGAAAATGACCTCGAAGTATGTTACCAATAAGAGCTGATGAGTATAAGATTTTGTGATTTACAAGAATTTATTGATTTGATTTGATTTAGTAAATGCAATTCCTCCTCACTTACATCTCTTTAGTTTCATATCTTCCCCATCCCTGCTTTTACTCTTGAACTTTTGTATTAGATTACTTAACCCGGTTTGACTACATCGCATTTTTTTTCCTTTGAATAAGGCTAGCGAATTCCTATCTTCAGACGAGGAGAGATGAAAGAGGAAACAAGTGGGTTAATTCACTATTTTTATTAGTTATTCTGAATCAAAATGAAGTAGGGTTAATCTGATTTGATCTCATTTGACCTATTTCAATGGGATTATTATTATTTTGTTCTTCTAAACTGTACAAAACGTTTATTTTCGATTCGTAAAGACAATTAAATGTCCAATATCAAATGAACTGGAATGAACATCAAATAACTTACTGATGTTATAATTTGATGTCACAGACATCGATGAAAAAAAAGCAAACCACTAAATTCTATTTAATTCTTATTTTTGAATAAAATGCTAGTTATACACCTGCAGAAATATGCTTTGTGTACTTTAGGCAGTGTGTTTTAATTTCCTGGAATCAGTGCACTAGGAAGAAATTGTTTACAGGATCATACTGTTTTAAATCTCATCATTCAGAAGCATAAATCACTTACGGTTAATTATATTTGGGTTATTTCAAAATAGTATTCATCATAGACTGACATGAGTTAGAGAAATACTGGAAATCTGGAAGCACTAGACAGCTGTTTCGTCCGAGTACAGGACTCTTCGGCAGTGGAAACCTAGACCCTGACAAGGGTCGAAACGACGACCTTCTAGTCACATGTAGAGTAAATTACCAGTGGACTCCTGGTTGACAGTCATATATTTCCGTCAGTATTTGATGTGGTGCCACCTTCATCCAATACCCTTATTGAATATTTGTTCTCATATTCCCCAATGGTTACGATATCGCAATAAAAGTTTGGGAAATCTCATCTCAAAGCATGTCACTAATGAGCACCTTGCAGAAATTAGGTCTGAAGGTTTTTGTTAGGATTTATTGATCTCACCTTGTCATTTAGTACGGACTGATATCAGCTGAATATTCATTTTAACTACGGCGTCTGAGGTAACTCATTGAAAAATGTTGTTTGAAGCTAAGTTCGAGTATCGATTGACTGTTTGAGACTTCTAAACACATGGCTATCAAATGCGGCGCCATGTAACATTTACATTTTAATGCTGAATAGTTTTTGACAATTTTTTCTAAGATTTTTAAAGGTTGATACTCATAAGATGCAACTCTAGCCCTCAGTTATTACGATACGAAAATCACTCTTATCTCATTCTACCTGTGTTGTTGCCTTTCATAGACTATAACGAGGAATAATGTCATGAAAATTGAAGACAATCACATCTGATGAGATAAAGTCATCCTGTTGAACGCCTATAAAGATTTCAAGTCTATTGTATTGCAGAATGGTGTCAAGTTGGCTTTAAGTGATTAGTTAGGAACAGTAAGTAACCAGTGCACACATTCATTGTCGTTATAAAACTAAGTTGTCGTCTACATAGCAGATGTTGCTAGATTTTCTGCTTCATATGACTTTTCTCCTGTGTTCCAGTTCCCATAGTTAACAAAATTCTGTTAAACTCCTAGTTTTTAGCACGGAAAAAGGTTTTTTTGACGATAGCACTTAACAGAGTTGTAGATTGTATGGATACGTTCAGATTCAGATTTGGTAAATGACATAGCCGGAACAAAAATTCTTTTTCTTTCATTTGCTTTTAGTTTTCCTTATGAGTTAGCGGATATCTCACTTCAACATTTAAACTAAGATCTCATGGTTATTTTACTAAGGCCAGCACGTCATGAAATCAGACTAATCTCAATTTGTTACTCATCAGTCGTCCACTGTTCTCAACATTTGTTTTCCTGAGGTTAGGAACTTCAACCAAAATAAGAAAAAGAAATGAAGATAAAACTAAATGACAGTTTGAAGGTTTTGAAAGAATCTTATTCATGGATTGATATCAGCCAGAGAACTAGTCAATCTGGCCGTAGTGGTTTACTGTTCTTTATCAGTGCAAACCCACAACCGTATGTAATATTGAAGACCGGACCTTCAGATCATATTCTGTATGGCTAATTGACAAAGTTGAAGGACATGGGTCATCAGATTTTGACTCAGTGGATAAGTGATAACATGCCTGTCTTGATGTCGAAGGGTTTTGAGTTCGAATTCTTATGGAGTCGTAGTTTTACCTTATAAGGAGACTCAAACGAGAACGAAAAAGCTACCCATGCTCCCATATTTTCAATATTCCTCAGGCTGTTGTCAGTTTAGAGTGAAAACACTACAGAAATAAATTTAGTCTGTTGTTTTACAGATTATTTTTATGCTGATATAGCCTTCAGTACAGATTGATAAGAAGTTGAAGGTCAACAAACCTATAACTTCCCTGGTGAAAACAGAAAACAATTTCTTGTTCCTTTTCACAACTTTCGATTGTTCTGAAACTTACAAAAGCATTTAACAGGGTTTTTTTCCAGATTACTAGGTCTTTATATTGATTTCACTCAATATTGAACTTTATTTGCCAGCTAGCCTCTAGTTCTTAGGCTTTTTATACAATTTTTTATCTTAATATCTTAATACGGTTGATTAATTTCTGTAGGTCTTTTAAGTGACCAGTGTATTCAGGGTGTAAATTTTGACAGCCTCGAACTTCGTAAGCGATTCATCAAAAATATTTTCCTTTTACCCATCGAACTGAAACGAATCCTGACGCTTTATATACTACATATTGGATTGGCAATAACTATAATCAACGTAAATAAAACCAATGGTCCGCAAGCAACAATGTTTGTTCACTCTGTTGAACATCTCCTTCATCCAAACTGCTAGGCCCAAAAAAGTGTGAAAATAATCGAAACTTTACATTTGGTTTACTTTCTATGCATAGTGGCTTTGGATGAGTGTAACTAAGCGTAAAACGATTGAAAATATTAATTAAAAGTCAGAAAAAGTAGTATCTTCAGTAACTGTATCTTTATTTCAACCAGTCAGTCAGTCAGTCAGCGCTTAATCAACTAATCATGAACGAAATCTGTAGATGTTGAAGCATTTGCTTCTCAGCTCCTCATTCAAATACATGTCGGCTTCAAAAGATGAAAATAAGAAGCAAAACAGTAGCGACACTTGGCTAACAGCTGAATAGAATTTCTAGTAACTGGTAAACTAGAGACTCTTTGGTTTCAAAACCTAACTCAGCTTATTCTCAGATAAATGAAATACCTACCTGATGGTTTGATTTATTCACCTGATTGTTTTCATTCAGCCAGGTGATATACTGTCTGTTCCAGTTTAAATTCCATTCAACCGAAAATAATTACATAACCATAACTGGCTTATTACCAAAACCATGAAAAAGAAAAGAGATTATAATTATGAACTACAATATCAATAGAGGTTGCTAGCAGTTACACGGTTACGGAATAAAATAGTTTTATGTTTCTGTGTACGATAGCCAGCAGAAAAACAAATACATAGAATTGACGCTTTCTTCATAACCTAATATGTATATATGCATAGATAACTGCTTAGTGTCACGGAATATTTTGTATGATAAGCTATAATCATGACACAGAAAATGTTACAGGCTAAGGGAAGTGATACCATCTGTCATTTTAGTGGGAACCGTTTTCATTTTTCATTCGAATTATGTTGGTGAGATATTTTCTGATGTAAAGAAGTTAAAACAATTAGTTCCCTTGATAAACTTCGACAAAACAATAAGAAGACGTAAATTGTCTGAACCGTGTAATGTATTTGCGCAACACATTTCGAACTATCTGATCACACACGTACTTGTCATAGGTATTTATATAAAAACTCATGAAGATAAGGGGTGAGAAAATAAAAAGGGGTCAGGTAGGAAGGCTGACTTAAAAGCCGAATAACAATGAAAATCAATAGGGCGAAAAAATAATAGTACATCGAACTTGGTTTTTCAATAGTTGAATTTACCAAGGAAGGTTTAATGTGACAACAAATTGTTTATGAATACATAAAGGTGGTTTAAACTTCCTAATAGCTAAGGCTTCAACAAATTTCAGGACCCCTCCCCAACATGTTTTGTAAATAGGTGTAAAGGAAGTAGCCACATCAATCCAACTCAGAACATTTAGGCCTCATAGTGAACGCATTAGCCGTATAGCCACTGGGACTGAGTTCCATAAATGTAATCGATCGGTAAGTGTCTCTACTTACGTCTTTACTTCAAAACACCTAGACATTTTATGAAAAGTATGGTGACTTTACTTATTTTAAAATAAGGGGATAAGGTACAGTCATTATATGATGAAAAATGATTACCGTTAGCCAAAAAGCACTTATCCAAGTAGTACGAAATGCCAAGAGAAAAACACGTATTTGAAAAAAAACTATAGTTAACGTGGAATCTGCCGGATGAAATCAGAATTATCAATCTAAACATTGAATAAAGAAAAGATGCCTAGTAGACTGAGAAATGAAGCATTTTTACATACATTCAAAGATATATCAGATAGGATCGATAGACTGAATAATTCTTTCATGAAAGTGTTAACACTGTCAAGGTTGTCAGTTAACAGAAGTAGGAAACTGTGAGCCATAGAACTTCGACTCAGTGGCTGAATGACCAGCGCGTTCTCGGCTAGAGGTCTGAAGGCCTAGATTTTGATCTCTTGCGAGATCATAGGTGTGTACTGCTGAGGAGTTCTGTGCTAGGAGAAAAAAGTTGTCCAGTGCTCCCAGTTTTTCAGTGGTTTTCCAAATATTTTCACTCTTTCGTAAATACTAACCTAAAAGCATAATCTTTACAAACCTTACACTAAACTGTTGTGTATTATCTCATTTTTGGTGTATGAAATCAGCTGTTTCATTTGTATGAATTTAGCTACATTGTGAACGCCTAGTTCAATCGTATGTGTGCATGACTCAGAAACAAGAACAATAAGGTTAATGAGCACTCTGTCTCTGTCTACCAACGTATTGAAAAACGAGTACAAAGACTGGCTAGTTAAAGGGTTGCAAATATCCCGTGTAGTGTTCAGCTTAGGAGCGACTCTTAAGGTCACTTTAACAACTACTGAAGTATACAGTTAAATTATTCACTGGACTCTAGAAAGGTAGTTCTCTATGAAATAAAGAAATTTTATTGGTTATTCTGTATCTACTGTAATGACGTTTAGAACCACCATAGTTTAGTCGATTGGTTGTGGTGTAGTAAAGATCAAGCAACTACCGTTCCGTTCAATTACGAGGGCGTAGAAAAAGTTTCAATAATCTGTTCAATGTGAGTTACTTTAAAGTCCATCCTAGAAACTGCTTGGATAGTCAATCAAGTTTCGTTATTTCGGTGAACTTATTTTCTCTTGAAATAAAGAATGGCAACTGGTTGTTTCGGTGACCTTTAAGTCACTCTTAAATATGGATTCAAACACTTGACCGAAGTTGTGTCAGTTTATTTTGTGTTATAAGATTAACCTTGAGCTACTCCAGTATTTTTTCAACAACATATGCTACCTTTATGTTATTTAAGTCTTCATTGACCTAAATGAGGATAAACTAAGTCTAATATCACCATTATATACTAATTATCAAGTTTGTACAGTATTCAGCATATTTATAACGCCATAAGTCGAGGTATCTAGAATGAAGAGTTCATAGTTAATGTGATTTATGGTTGAACTTTCCATCCTACCACCGAACCGAAACCGTAACTCTAACTTCATGTACCTTAACACGTTACTTCAAATAGGTCGTAGAACACCTTCAGCAATGAAAAGAAGAAATTCTACCCAGTATTTTGTTGTTGTTGCTTTATGATCTCATTATTAAGAACCAAGAGTTAAAAGTGTATTCTTAGCTTTTTATACCCTACTTTCGGATTGTAATGCATATTTTAACTTTTTTCCGAAGTCCAACGGCTTACTTCTGACGAGTGTCAATATGAGAGACATATTAGATTTGTTTATTTGATATAAAGCGCACAGTGATACAGTATTATTTAATTGAGAGATATCAAAGATATCAAAGTATTTAGCATCAGTATTACGTCCTGTTAGAGACCGTTCCAACTCTAGACTAGTAAATTCTTACGAGTTGAAACAAAAACTTAATGACCTGCACATAGAAGAGGATGAAAAAATGGTTAGTTTTGACGTAACAAGTCTTTATACTAAAATACCAATCAATATGGCACTGGAGGCAGTCAGAAATCAACTAGATACTGACTCACAACTTACTCAAAGAACCAAGGCATCGGTTGGTGAAATCATGTTAGGAGTGCAGTTATGCTTAACCTCGACAGTCTTCAAGTTTCAGGGAAAGATTTATAGACAAACAGAAGGAGTAGCAATGGGATCACCAATATCCCCTATAGTAGCAGATATATTTATGGATAGTTGGGAAGATATGGCTTTACGAACATATAATCCGACACCTAAGATATGGTGGCGATATGTAGATGACACATTTACAGTGTTGAAATCGGAACATATCGACAGTTTCTTGACACACATAAACTCAGTAGTTAACGCAATCCAATTCACTACGAAGTAGAAAATGAACAAGGAGAATTACCTATGTTGGATTGCAGAATAAAACGAAGGATAGATGGTGGTTTAGATACTACCGTCTACAGAAAACCAACACATTCTAACAGGTATCTAGACTTCAAGTCATCTCATCCAGTGTCAGTTAAAGCGGGTTTAGTCAAATGTCTAAATAACAGAGCTGAGAAACTCACTAGTCATTGTAAGGACTTAAATAAGGAATTGAAACACATAAAAGAAGCGTTAATAACTAATAATTATCCCCATCATTTTATTAAGAAATTCACACGGACGCATAAGAAGCAAAATAATAACACTAATACAAATACAAATAATAGTGACAACATAAGTAGAAAGGAAATCAACACCTCTATTGTGATACCATACAAGGAAGGAACATCAGAAACCATACGTAGGATTCTCAACAAGGTTGGAATTAGGGTGGCATTTAAACCAACAAACTCACTTAGAGGTAAGCTTTGTCGGCTAAAAGATCCGATAGAACCAATTAAGCAAAATAATATAATCTACCAAATTCCATGTAATGACTGTGAAGTCAAATACATAGGTCAAACTAGCCGGTCGGGGTCAGTTAGATTAACAGAACATAGGAATTTAGCTAAACATAGAACGTAGACCCCAATAAGATCAATAACCTAGAAAAACACTCAGCCATTGCATTACATTCATTAACACACAACCACACAATAGGATGGGACAAAACCACTGTACTTAAGTCTAATATAGCTAGGTGGAGAGAGAGATTAATTACTGAATCTTTGTTCATCGAATCCACACCCAACACATGTAATAGGAATGACGCAACACCTATACCAGAGATATGGAAAACTTTACTACCAATCAAAAAAACAAAGAGAGATCAGGTGACAGGACTATAAAATCAGATGTCGAAAGAAGTGTGATTACATTGATATGATTATGAGCAATAATTTATGCTCGAAACGTAATCAATTAAATAATACTGTATCACTGTGCGCTTTATATCAAATAAACAAATCTAATATGGAACTACATTCTACCACAGTGCCCAAGTTTTTCACTTATAATATGAGAGACAGTTTCTACTTTTGTCTTCAACATTAATCTAGATTTTAGTAAATCCTTCATTATTATACGTCTGTTAAAATCAGCAAAAATTCCTGAAGCTTTCATTAGCTTTAATAATAAGTATATAATCCATTAGTTTCTGATTAGTTATTTCAAGGACAGTGTGCTTTTTCTGATCCTACTGAAACAAGATAATCTGTTTCATTTTCTCCTTCATTATATTCCATAGCGTTTTGATATTCAAGTAACTGGAGATATTAGACAAAAAAAATATCTTAGAACTGTATAAAAAAACCAATACTTATCAGCTTTTAATACATTGAATGACCTCTTCATGTTTCATCTTACAACCGTCTTAAAACCATGAATTGGTAAACAGTTCTCAGCTTACTTTGGTCTCCTCAATGATTTTATTATGAGATGAGGATAGATTTCCAAGTTAAAATTGAAATTTTCAGTTTACTAAATTCCACTCAAAGTTAGTTGATCAAAGACTTTTCCAAGTCAGGAACACTCATCAACAAAAGACTATCAACGATATGTTTTTAAATTGCTCTTAAGAATATGGTTGAATCTGTGCATTACAAGTACACTTTAATCATTTTTCATCTTTCCATTAAAATATTTCTCTTGTGCAACTGACAAGTGTAACAACTTTAACTGTTGTCAGTTATCTATATGCTTCTGAATGGCTAAAGTGAATTTTCGAGAAGTTTCAGTAGTCACTGAAAGCTAGGATGAA